GTAAAATCACCAACAAATAACTATGTCCTGAGTCCATTTTATGTAACATTGTCAAATTGTAGTTTTGATTTAAGGTATACGAAAAATAGACACCCACAGACTGGGTTGCTAGCACAATTCGTAGTAGGTGAACCGTCAGTTCATTGAAAAAATGACTGGTTGGAATGTCTTCCAATGAAGTCAAGACATTTCACCCAGTCATTATATTTTTGCATGGGACAGTCGGCTACAAATATTGGCTGACGTCCCAAAATCTACAAAACAGTCAATCTGTCAGTCAGCCAGTAAGCCAGCCATCAGTGATAATATTATTTGCAATGTCTAGCTCATCGTATTCCGCCCGGAGCTATATTCTCCTACACACTGATATCACAATATCATCGGCGAGTAGACACCTTTCTTTTCTCAGACAGGTCACACAGATGAATGACAAGACTGTCAGGAACAGTTCAACTAGTCTCAACTCCTATCCCCACTCCGATTGGCAGCTAGCCAGCCAGACAGCTAACTAGCTACCTAACTAGCTGGCTAGCTAGCAGCTTAGTTGGCTAACTACTCAAACCAACCAACAACCAACCAACAATACAATAAAACAAATTAACAACTCACGACAAACCTATGTGTGTCTGTGTGTGTCTGTAAATATTTCTCTTGAAAAATTCAAAAGTTACACTATACTTACTTTACTCATTTGAAATATTCACATACAGTCGAGTATACATTCCCTTCCCAGGACTACCAGCACAAAATCAACCTACACCAACAAGGAGTCAATGAAGTAGGCGAGAGGCCACAAATTCTTCCTCTGTATAACTACACCATTCAAACCGATAGCGCCATCAGCAAATTCTGGCATCGGCGACTCATATTGAGAGAAATCACCTTCTACCTGAATATTATTCATTGATTAGAAATTGAAACAATTAATGTTGCATATAGAAATAAATATCCATATATCTATATATATACCTATGAGTATATATATTGAAAAAATCTTGCTTCATTATGAGCACCATAAAAACCTGCCGCCTAGTTTGTACGTGGGTTGGGATACTTACTACCTGAAAGCATGCTGTTGCTGGACGTCTGTAGTAGCCTGTTAGAAATGACTCCGTTATATTCAGTCCCACAGGATAGAATCTCATTTATCCTAAGGGATGTATGCTACTTTAGATCAATTATTTCCGCATTGTTAGTTAAACCTGACTGATTTCAAGTACTTTTGAATGTAAACCACAAAAATCAACTTTGGCGTATATATTTTTTGTCTGAACCAATATACTACTTACTTATAAGTGTTGCACTGATAAGCAGTTTAATGAATTCTACACAACAACAAAATCCTAGCGATACATCACTTGAAAATATAGTAATGCATGCAAAAGTCAGCAAACTTTTGACATCCACATAGTAAAATCACCAACAAATAACTATGTCCTGAGTCCATTTTATGTAACATTGTCAAATTGTAGTTTTGATTTAAGGTATACGAAAAATAGACACCCACAGACTGGGTTGCTGTCACAATTCGTAGGTAGTGTGCCGTCAGTTCATTGAAACAATGACTGGTTGGAATGTCTTCCAATGAAGTCAAGACATTTCACCCAGTCATTATATTTTTGCATGCGACACTCGGCTACAAATATTGGCTGACGTCCCAAAATCTACAAAACAGTCAGTCAATCTGTCAGTCAGCCAGTAAGCCAGCCATCAGTGATAATATTATTTGCAATGTCTAGCTGGTCGTATTCCGCCCGGATGTATATTACTATGTAATTAGCAATGTGAATCGACCATTTCATTATTCATCTTTCTGTATTATATGATATCACACTTTCTTTCGTTTAATTTTATCTTTGCCATTTTATTTTATTTGTTACTTCTATTATTACTATAATTTTATAATTTATGCATATTTTTCTCTGTACTGCATACAGTAATTTGCTATGTAGCTGCTATAACAACGTTTTATTATTATTTTTATTATTATGTAATGTTTATTTTTATTTTTTGTCGTTTTTTGAGTAAATTAGATGCAATATTGTACTGAATGCTGAAAATTTTTTGCTGTATCATTAGTACTGTTTTTGGAATAAAGCATATGATTATTATTATCGTAGATGTTAATATTAGTCAATGCATAAGAGGAGTTCAGTAAATGTATTAGACTTACGTTATAGGATGAATAACTTAATTTGAATGGAGTTGTAATCACAGTGCAAATGCAAATGAATGCCGAATCCGATATTACTTGAGAAACACAAGAGTGACGAGGAGTGGGACAAAAACAACCTAACAAATGTCAAGTTAGCAGCAATCGACAAGGTTGTCACCACAATAGTGGTAGAAGTGGCTGGGTGGTTTTGTCCTGTCTGTATAGCTCAAGTCTTTCCTAACTGAATTGGCCAAGACTTCAGAAATGCAAAGGAGACGAAAACATGTCGCCTTTCGCAGGTTGTTCTCCACTTTGAAGATGACTCACGTCTGTTGAGATGGGGATGAGCAGTGTTGATAAGGTGTTCAATTATTGAACTTTTTACAGAGCCTCTGTTACCTTCTCGAAAGAATGTGGGATAGTGTTCTTGAAAGATATGCGTCGAACGACCGACATACATGTCTCCATAGGAACAGATGGAGTGGTTCATACACATAGAAGTGATCAGGTGAGAGATCGTGTCTTGAAGCTTTTCGTATGCAGGTAGATAGTTGAAGAACACTACTCTTAAAGTCACTGCGAAGAGCTTCCTTCTTGAAAATGACGAAATTTCTCTCGTTGAGGATATCAAAAGTCTAAGTCGCCTATTGGACTTCCGGTTCATGTAAGGTTCCTGTTTTAGCACAAGGTATTGTTTCGCTGCCCTGAAACTTTTGTTTAGTTAAATATTCTTTTTAGTTATTCTCAATCGGTATCCGTGTTTTGGATGAAGGTATCTTTCAGAATGTTACTTTTTATGTTCCTTGACCATCAAGGCTGAAGATGCCACCATTGGATTCCAGTGGTGGTAAAGAGAGTTAGTTGAATTACGTTCTCGTTCAACACGTATCCAAAGTATAGAAACTTATCTTTTGGATATTTCATGTGTTCTTCCTATGGAAAAGCTTTTTTTTTAAGACTCCAATGAGTCTTCTTGTCAATTTCATACCAAGAAATGGAATTTTCGAAACCGTTTTCCATTTCAGTAGTGTTTTTTTTTTTAATGTGGAATTACTTGCCACTTCGACCAGTGCTAGGCACGTGTAATTTCCCATATGACACAGCAGCAAAATGGTTGGTGAGTCTCCTGAAACCTTTGCATACCGAGTTGGTGAAATGCAGTATAAAAGATAGTTTTGAATTTGTCGAAAATATAAGCGATCTTAATGTGAATGACAAATTTATGATATCTTTTAATGTACTCTCATTGTTAACCAATGTACCGTTGATGGAGAGAGTAGATTTTATTTTGTGATGAGATTACTAAGCGAAACACAGATATTGGCATTTCTGTATCCTACAGAGAGGAAGTTATTTTAAGATGTACAATGATTGTTCATTTCTTATTCAATAAGCAATACTACAGACTCTGTTCTCATCATGGAGACTTTAACAAACATTCTTCTGGATATTCGTTCTTATATAGTAAACAGATATGTGCGAGAGAAAGAATAGTACATGAGGAAACAAGACAGTAATTTAATAGATCTGGACAATTACACAGGAGTAAATTTCTCCGCATCATATCACCAACAGTCTCAAGCCACAACTTCATAGCATCTTGACAGTCCCAACTAGCCGCGCAGTCTACATGTGCCTGAGGGTAGTTGGCTCAGATCAACAATCAAAGACTCCGTAGATTGAACACAGGTGGCCTCAATCAGGCCACCATCCCTAACTAATTCCTGACCTAATTCCGTGTCAGATAACATTGCTCATCGAAGAAGACGATAGCTTGATGTTCGTAACACCTGTCCTAGACATCTCAATCAATATAGCTGCTTCACAACCTCATCTAATGACTTCTCCTCCCGGTTGTCTAACATTCTACATCTACTTATATTATAATTATTCTCTTGAATCCAAGTGGAACACATGACTTCAATAGCACATCCTTATTTTGTCATTTTTTCACTGCAGTCCTCTTTAGCTGGCTGGCTTCACGATGACCACTACCTATCATCCCCAGCTCACCACACGATTCCCTCCATTTCACCCTCAGATGCCCAACTCGCCCTTTTCTTACACGGCTTCTACTCGACAGCATGATGCAAATCAACAGTCTCTTCAGCGTGTGTCCAATCTATGTCCATCTTGTTCGGAATATTTGTTATGCAGTGGGCTGCTGATTGGTTCATTCTAAGAGTTTCTTGTTGTTAATTCTTTCTCACCCACCGGCCATCTGATCTTTACCATAATGTCAGCTACTGATAAAAGTTCAAGCCTGATCGAAACGCTTTTCGTGATGCACAAGTTACTGACATATATAGAAGAACTGACTGGCATGAATAGTCTATGAAGTTCAGATCTTCCACAGTCTTTTTATCCGTCCAACGTATTCCTGCCTTCTGGTAACCCACAGTCTTCTGCATAAACCAGTCCACCATAATTACGAATATCATCGGTGCTGGTAGGAAGCCTTGTTTTACACTCTTGTCTTCACTGAGAAGCTTTCGCTGAATTCTCCGTTGAGGATCACTTGGCATATGACACTCCCCAAATTACTTCGCGGCCAACGCTGTCGACGGCCTCTACGCCCAACAACTTCACTATTACTCACTATGTGATACCATTTAAAATATACACGACAGAGATAGAACTCAAATATCTTCTATCATTGGTCAAACACAGATACAAGACAGCCTTTTCTCATTTCTTCCACTTTCAACACGGTCATGAGAAGTACACACACATCCAATGATCGACAGCCCGGGGGATGTCACAGAGATGACGTAAATTGGCAAACTTCACAAACACACTCATCGCCTAGCCCAGCTAACTGAACTAACCATCAAAAACACGAATCGAAGTCGAAATAAACAAGGATTTTATTCAATAATAATTTTTACAAATGACCACCCCATCATCATCATCATCATCATCACCACTTGATGACACGAGAAGGCGAGGGTAGAAAAAGAGAAGAGCACAACAGAGAGAGAGAGAGAGATTGAGTGGCAAAAAATAAATGAAAGAAGTAAGACCAACTGAGAAATGTTTTTTTTATTTAAATAAATCGTTTAAACAATAGTCGAGGAATTTTATTTGACATCAGGGTAGCATACTTTCCTTTAGAAGATTCATTCAGAACAGACACCACATCATCGTAACTTGGCAACTTATCCACCCGTCCATAGCCAATCAATGTTGGTTTTGAATGAAAAATCATTCGATGAAGCAATTCGCGAAGATCATCTTCGGTGACTTTATCTTTATGAGAGAGAGAGAGACAGCGAGAGGAGAAAACACGAAAAAACAAAAATGAAACAGAATTTGAAATACAAAGCTGGTTAAGTTAGCCAATTTGATAACGAAACGTTCATAATAAAGATATATGAAATGATAAGCCAGACAACATACACTATTTTATTGACTCTATCGACCGAGAGATAATATGGCAAACTTTGACTATGATGAAGGGGGAGACGATAAAGCGTACACATCACACTAATCCATGCTGTGAATAAGTTAAACCCAAAGGTGAGTAAAAACCACTGGATCTCCACCGCCTCATCCGAACTGATAGATGCTAGAAGACTTATTCCGGCGAGCTCCGAATTCAATGAGGAGCGAAAGCTGCACAAAAGGAAACTTACGAAAAGTCTCCGCAAGGACCGTGAACAGTGGTGGGTGACAAAGGTGAAAGAGATGGAGAAAGCTTCGAGGATAGGCAACACCAGGCAACTCTTTGGACTCATCAGGGAAACGGGTGGGAGAAGACAAATCATATGTGAAACAATCTCGGAAAAAATGGCACTATAATTAGCTCCCAGGATAGACGACTGGATCGCTGGAAAGAGCATTATGAGGAGCAGTTTAATTTGCCCACAGCCACGCTCAACCTTCCGGACATCCAACACCTCCCTGAATGGGATATAGACACAGGTCCTCCGTCACTAACTGAGGTTACTAAAGCTGTCACCAATCTGAAACTAGGCAAAGCAGCGGGACCTGATGGAATGACTCCAGAGGTATTTAAGTACGGTGGAGACAGCTTACTGTCCGGATTAACTGAGGTACTAGGCAGCGTCTGGGAATCAGAAGAAGTCCCATCGGGTTGGTGTAAGTCACTGATTATCCCCATATACAAGAAGGGAGACAAGTCTTCCTGTGATAATCACAGAGGGATTAGCTTGACTAATATAGTATCTAAAGTCTTAGGCTCAATAATCATGCGTAGACTGAGTGGTGCTCGGGAGGCACAAACACGAGAGAGCCAGGCAGGCTTTAGACCAGGAAGAGGGTGTATTGATCATATCTTCACCCTCCGACAGATTCTAGAACATAAGAATTCCTACCGGCGTCCAACAGTCATTATATTTCTTGACCTAAAGGCAGCATTCGACTCTGTCGATCGGGAAGTTCTCTGGAGATGCTTGGCTGTAAAGGGAATTCCAAGAAAATATATTGCACTGATTAAGGCACTCTACTCGTACTCATACAGCCAGGTGAGGGCTTACGGCGAGCTGTCATCTGAACTGATGACGACCAGTGGTGTCCGTCAAGGATGCCCATTATCTCCTTTTCTATTCAACTTCATCATAGATGTGTTAATGGACTTAACCCTAAGTGACTTCAGTGACTCAGGGATTGACTTGCTACCACCAGGGAATAATCTCGTTGACTTGGAATATGCAGACGATATAGTCCTTCTAGGCGAAGACGCTGACGAAATGCAGAGTCTTCTAAACACCTTGAGCCGCAATCTACGAATGTTTGGCATGCGATTCGCTCCCGCCAAATGCAAGATGATGTTACAGGACTGGACTACATCGACGCCTAGTTTAAAAATAGGAAGTGAAGTGGTAGAGCACGTTGACCGCTTCACTTATTTGGGAAGTACCATCAGCCAGTGCCAACGGGTTGATCTCTGACGAAATCTCAGCACGAATACAAGGGGCTCGTTTCGCATTTGTTAGTTTACGCCGACTCTGGCGTAGACGAGATGTTCGACTATCGACCAAAGGGCGGGTGTACTGCTCATCAGTCCGCTCCGTCCTCCTTTATGGTTGTGAGACCTGGCCACTGAGAGTGGAAGACATGAAAAGACTAGCTGTCTTTGATCATAGGTGCCTGCGTTCTATTTCCCGTGTAAAGTGGCATAATAAGGTGAGCAACATGGAGGTTAGGCGTCGAGTTCTAGGTAAACAGGGGAAATCAATCGACGAAGTCGTGAAGCTACAAAGACTGAGATGGTTAGGACATGTGTTACGTATGCCAAGCCATCGCCTCCCTCGACGAGCAATGTTAGCGGATATAGGGTCAGGCTGGAAAAAAGCTAGCGGCGGTCAAACAAAAACTTGGCATCAGTCAATGAAATCCACAACAGTTGGTCTAAGCCACGTAGGAAGGTGTAGACTTCCAGGCTGGGGTCCTCGGGACGGTAAAAATCTATGGTTGGAAACAATTGGTGACATGGCTCAAAATCGTTCTCAGTGGCGCAGATGCATCCACTCCCTGTGACTTATGATCTTCAATGAAACTGTTTTGTTCTTCGTTATTACTCCTTTGTCTCACACCTCTGCTCACTGTTTCTATTATGCTTTTCTTGTACTTTCTTCTCTTGCTTCGCGTGCTACACAGAGTGTGGCGACTTGAACTTCCGCACATTTGTGCAAAGTTCTATGTCGAAAACAGACAGGCAGACAGACTCATGCTACTCGAACTCACGCAGTCCTGTAAGAGCTTATGGAGGATTGTCATCTGAAGTGTGATGAATACCAGTGGTGTCCATCAAGGAAGTTCACCAAGACCTGCTCTTTTCGCCTTGATTTGCAGCGATTCGCTACCACCAGGGGATAGTCTTGTTGGCTAAGAAAATGCGGATGTAAAATTCTCCTCCTAGGTGAGGAAGATGCTGATAAAATGCAGGAGAGTCTTCTGTATGCTACTACCCTGAACAGTTACCTTTGAATGTTTGATCAGCATGTGATTTGCTCATCTTGTCCATTGTAAGAAGATACCATAGGACTGGACTACATCCACTCCTAGTTGGCTTAAAAACAGACATGAGTGAAGTGGTAGAGTACGTCTACCACTTCGCTTATTTAGGATGAAACCTCATCTCGGATACGAAAGGGTGTTTATCAACTTAACTCATCTCTGACATGAACGTGATATCCCGGTGGTTATCGATCAAAGGACGTGTGTACCGCACCGAAGCAGTTTGCCCCAGCCTGTGAGTGAAATATGCTCATTGAAAGTGAGACATGAAAAGGCAAGGCGTCTTTGAATGTTGAATGATCTCGACAAGTATGTTTGCTTTTTAGATGACGTCCCTCATTTCTTCTCTCACCAGTTTATTTACATATTGCTGTGTAGGATATTTCCTGGTGATCATGATGTACCAGGTCTGTTTTTGAAATTTTTTCCATTCCTTTACATTCCCAGTGGGACATAGGGCTTCAAGCTAAAGGCTTGAAGTTTCCATAGCAGTGGTGATTATTTTCACAGGATAGGGTTGCTAGCCTCACACCTAACCTTCCCTCTTTACCAGTCTAATTACTGGCTTAGCGAGGTAGAGGAGTGCATCGGTCAGGGATCGAAAACCCAGGACCACACGTGTGGTCGGCGAGCACTTCACCGCTGTGACACCGACGCCTGTTTTTGAAATAAGTCATAATAAATAAATAACCAGCCCAGCTCGCTGACCATTTAGCCCCACATGAACGGCGGAATCCAATAGCCCGAAAATACGAAGTTAGGACCCACTAACACGTCATCAGTGATGATACAATCCTTAACAACCTAGCCTAATCGGTCAATAAGCCCGATAAATTGAGGCTAGGAATCCCAGTCGATAGATTGCTGGTAACTTGAAGTGGTGATTATCGAACTTGCATATCGTAGTCACACAACGAACTACATTGGTTGGAAAGAATGTGTTCCTGGATGACCCCACCATACCACAAAGGTCGTCTAAATAGATATTAGAATAAAAGCAGTCACCAGCGTCTAACTATGTCTGTCTGTCTGTCTGTTTTCGACATAGAACTTTGCACAAATGTGCGGAAGTTCAAGTCGCCACACTCTGTGTAGCACACGAAGCAAGAGAAGAAAGTACAAGAAAAGCATAATAGAAACAGTGAGCAGAGGTGTGAGACAAAGGAGTAATAACGAAGAACAAAACAGTTTCATTGAAGATCATAAGTCACAGGGAGTGGATGCATCTGCGCCACTGAGAACGATTTTGAGCCATGTCACCAATTGTTTCCAACCATAGATTTTTACCGTCCCGAGGACCCCAGCCTAGAAGTCTACACCTTTCTACGTGCGTCGGTGGTATAGCGGTTAGCACGCTCGCTGACCATGCATATGGTCCGGGGTTCGACCCCCGGCCGGCGCACTCCTTTACCTCACTGAGCCAGAAATAATGCTGGTAAAGAGGAAAGGTTAGGCATGAGGCTAGCAAACCCATCCTGTAAAAATTAAACACTGCTACAGAAACCTCAAGCCACTAGCTTGGAGCCCTATGGTCTAACTATGTATTACTAATTGATCAAGATGAGTAGTTGCATACCACCATTCATTCATCGACCTATATTGGTTGCTAACCCAGCCAGGCCGTCGAAGTGATTCAAACATCAGATGGCTGTTTAGATCCTCTAGCGCCAAGCTCTTTGTCAGAGGTACATCCGGTTCGATTCAGCTCAGAGAGGGAGAGAGAAAGGCGAATCAATTCAAACCACCCAAATTCTGTGGAAGTATATAATTTTATGCAAACATGCTTATTTTCTTGATAGTATTACGCAGATCATATAATGTCTGTATGATCTAAACAATTTCAGTTTCCACAAGAAAACGTGGTGAGGTTTCACCTCTTTAAACTATTTGTGAATTGAAAATTACAATTCACTCAGTAGAATCTGTAAATTTGACTCATACGTAGCCTACACCATGTTTGTAGCAGGGTTTATGGTTGAAATTGCAAGCTACTGGCGAATCAAGGGATGTAACGGCAGTGAGATATTTATTTCCCTCAAATGACCACAAACAAGCCAGCTATGCTATCTTTCAGCTTTGGAGAGTAGTTGGGATGGTTAGAGTACATCCAGAGGTCCAAAGCCGGCAGTGAGATGTTATAATGCGGACTACTCCAAATACGGCCTTGAGTGACCGCTCTCAAGCAGTTGTCTCCCCTGGCTCAACTGAGGTCAAGAAACCCAATAACGCTTCTTTAAGTTTCAGATGCCTTCAAAAAGAAGACTGGCAATCCCATCCTTTGCTACTGAAGCACCATAGCGAGAACTCAATCATTGACTGGTTTCAACATAGCATTTTGCACAGAAGTACAGCAGTTCGAGTTGCCACTCTCCATGTAACACACACCACCGGAGACAAAAGAAACAAGAAAGAGGTTCAAAAGAACGCTAATAAGCACAGTTGTGAGGAGTGGGGAGATATGGAATACCTCAAGGAGTGAATGCATCTGAGCCGCCGACAACAATTTTCAGCCAGCTCATCAACAGTCCTCAGTCATCCGTTCTTAGAATCCAGAGGACCCTAACCAGGTAGGCATGCAGTCTACATAGAACATGTTGACCACTTCACCTACTTGGGAAGTTGTATTAGCACCAACGGACTGATTGGCGATGAAATCTCAGCACGGATCCGAAAAGCTCGAGCTGCTTTCGCTGACTTACACCATCTCTGGCGTAGGCGTGACATCCGGTTATCAACCAAGGGAAGTGTGTACTGCTCATCAGTTCGCTCCGTCCTTCTCTATGGCTCTGAAACATGGCCAATACGCGTTGAAGACATGAAAAGGTTGACTGCTTTCGATCATAGATGTCTGCGATCTCTGTCTCACGTTAGGTGGTTTCACAAGATAAGTAATGTTGACGTTAGGCGTAGAGTGTTGGGCAAAGAGGGAAAATCAATCGACGAGGCTATAAAGTTACATAGACTAAGATGGCTAGGTCACGTGCTGCGCATGCCTAACCACCGCCTCCCCCGACGGGCTTTGCTAGCTGACATAGGTGAAGGTTGGAAAAGAGCCAGTGGTGGCCAAACAAAAACATGGCATCAATCCATGAAATCCTTGACAGTTAAACTGAGTCAGGTAGGGAGATGCAGACTTCCGGGTTGGGGCCCTCGGGACTCTAGGAATCAATGGCTGGAGACAATAGGTGACATGGCTCAAAATCGTTGTCAATGGCCAGCGCAGATGTATTCAGTTTCTGTAATCTTTCATATTCCTTTCTACCATTACCCATTCTGTTTCACTCTTATATTTGTCAAACTCTATTGATTCTCTTCAATCATCTTCTTGTCTACCTTGTGTGCCAATTGGAACGTGGCAACTCGAACTGCTGCACTTCGGTGCCAAGTAATATGTTGAATCCAGACAGACATGCAGTCTACACCTAATTACGTGCTGACTAGCTTGAACGAACAGTCAAAGATTTCATGGACTGATACCAGTTATATTTTGGTTTGACCATAACTAGACTTTTTGCAAAGTGATCATATGATAGCTATCATTCCTCGTAGAGTAAGAGAACAGGTGGTCTGGGTGTAAGACGTGCCTTAGCCATCTCAATCAATACAACTACACCACAACTTCATCTAATGACCCATCTATCCCTACCTAACATTCGACGCCTAAAGTCAGTATTATTACTCACCCCTAGTACATCACTTAACAAAGGAGATAGAATACGGACATCATCGATATTCAAAGACAGCAATTCAGCCTTTTCATATCTTCTACTTTCAATGGGCATGTCTAACAGCCACAAATGAGGCCCAAGAGAACTGCTACTTCTCTGAAGTACACACGTCCTTCAATCGATGACCAGTAGGTTATCATGTCAGAGATGGTCTAAGTTGGAGAAAAGTACATAAGCCTTTTGTATCAATGCTGATATTTTGTAAGCAATCAGGTGTTTCCCTCAAATGATCACCATATGTAAAATATAAAACCAAACTTACTTATCTGATCAACCCAATAATCTGGTTCACGTCTACAATTGGCTGTTAACATTTGACGTGCAATATCCTCGAAACTGACAGCACGTGTCTCCAGATTCATCAAAAGCATTGACTTCAACTGATGTTTAGCTCGGGATAATTCTGTCGGATTGATTGAAACTACTGCCGTGTGACGTAATTCATCCAGTAGAGTGTAAACTAAACGATCCAAATAGGGGGGACATGAACTCCCAGTAATTGTAAATAGACCTGAATCACTATAAGCATGGTTCTCCGCTTGAGCTGAGTTGACCCAATGATGTCTGATGAGAAATAAGGGGGGGGGTGGGGTGGGTGGGGTGGAATAAACAAAGATCAAAAACTGGCATATTAGTTAGACGGCTAATAAAAACTACCAGCAGGGAGTGATGGACAGCCGTTTCGGCCTAGCTTGGAGTCTTCAGCAACACCCGAACACAACAGCACCACCAGGGATACTACCCAAGATCTTCAGGTTATGAGGCAAGCTAACTGACCATATGGCCACTGGAGCAGAATAAAATGACCCATAAATTGTAACTCCTGCCAGTTTGCGATATAAATTGCGATCATCATGAGCTAGTGTCATCGGCGAATATATGTCTCCACACCCGTCGACTACCTGATGGATCCCAGTGGTTGCATAAATTCACTCACTAGGACTTTAGGCAATTTATTCCTTCTATAGTCAGGCCGTTAGATTTCGCCTATCAAGATACTCAACATAATTGAGGTTAGACGATGATGGAGAAGGAGTTGGGAAAAAAGATAACCAACTGCCATGACATAACTACTAGACATTTTGTTGTTTTTTTTTTGTCCAAGTTTCTGACAGTCTTCAACAATAAGGACACTTGTGATGGGCCATCCAAAAGAGATGGAATACATCCAATGATATTCATGTTAGATAACCCTATGACTAACTTTTACCAAAACTCAAAGTAAGCCACCGAAAAATGTTATGCTGGTGCACAACAGGAAGAATGAACAATTATCTTTCCTAGATAAGTATAAGTATATTGCTTAACCGGTGACCTGATGAATCAATACAACTATCTACTTACGATATAAACATACTTGGACGAGATACAATGTATCTTAATCACTACAACTTTTCTTTCCTGTTCAGTACAAAACAACAGCCCTAGTTGTAGTGCTCCTCTTTAGTAGGATTCATGGAATATGATGCACAGAGAACACACTTTACGATAAGGAAAGAATACTAACAGAAACTCTCATGGAAAATAATTATCCTGATTGTGGTGTGGGGGATCAGCCTAACGAACATAGTCTCTAAAATCCTAGTCTCAGTAATCATGCATAGACTAAGCAGAACTCGGGAGGAATAGACAAGGGAAAATCAAGCAGGCTTTAGACCAGGTAGAGGGTGCATAGATCATATCTTCACTCTTCGACAGATTCTAGAACATAGACACACTTTTCGGCGTCCAACAATTGTCATATTTCTTGACTTGAAGGCGGCCTTCGACTCCGTGGATCGAAAGGTACTATGGCAATGTCTGACTGTGAAGGGAGTGCCAAGAAAGTACATTGCACTAATCAAGGCACTCTATTCAAACTCACGTAGTCGTGTAAGGGCTTATGGGGAATTGTCATCTGAATTGGTAACAACCAGTGGTGTCCGACAGGGATGTCCACTTTCCCCATTTCTGTTTAACTTCATCATAGAAATGCTGATAGAAGTATCCTTAACTGAACGTAACGACTTAGGAATCGACTTGTTACCAGGGAATAATCTTATGGACTTAGAATATGCAGATGACATAGTCCTGTTAGGGGAGGATGCTGACAAAATGCAGAGTCTTCTGAACACCTTGAGCAGCAATCTTCGTATGTTTGGCATGCGATTCGCCCCTGCAAAATGTAAGATGCTGCTACAGGACTGGACCACGTCAACCCCTAACTTAGTGATAGGGAGTGAAGTGATAGAACATGTTGACCACTTCACCTACTTGGGAAGTTGTATTAGCACCAACGGACTGATTGGCGATGAAATCTCAGCACGGATCCGAAAAGCTCGAGCTGCTTTCGCTGACTTACACCATCTCTGGCGTAGGCGTGACATCCGGTTATCAACCAAGGGACGTGTGTACTGCTCATCAGTTCGCTCCGTCCTTCTCTATGGCTCTGAAACATGGCCAATACGCGTTGAAGACATGAAAAGGTTGACTGCTTTCGATCATAGATGTCTGCGATCTCTGTCTCACGTTAGGTGGTTTCACAAGATAAGTAATGTTGACGTTAGGCGTAGAGTGTTGGGCAAAGAGGGAAAATCAATCGACGAGGCTATAAAGTTACATAGACTAAGATGGCTAGGTCACGTGCTGCGCATGCCTAACCACCGCCTCCCCCGACGGGCTTTGCTAGCTGATATAGGTTCAGGTTGGAAAAGAGCCAGTGGTGGCCAAACAAAAACATGGCATCAATCCATGAAATCCTTGACAGTTAAACTGAGTCAAGTAGGGAGATGCAGACTCCCGGGTTGGGGCCCTCGGGACTCTAGGAATCAATGGCTGGAGACAATAGGTGACATGGCTCAAAATCGTTGTCAATGGCGCAGATGTATTCAGTCTCTGTAATCTTTCATATTCCTTTCTACAATTACCCATTCTGTTTCACTCTTATATTTGTCAAACTCTATTGATTCTCTTCACTCATCTTCTTGTCTACCTTGTGTGCCAATTGGAACGTGGCAACTCGAACTGCTGCACTTCGGTGCCAAGTTCTATGTTGAATCCAGACAGACAGACATTTGAAAGAGGTCACTTCCCTCACTTATCTGATCTAGGCAGAATCGTTTCAACTACAGACAGCGGAATGAATGAGGATGCCAAAGCCAGCCTCAACTAGAAAACCAAGGTAGACCTTCATCACTATGAAATCATTTTAGAGGTCTGCTCTGCTCCGTAGCATGAAGCACAAAATTCAAATTTTCAACATCAATTTTCAGACAGTTCTTCTATATGAGTCAGCAACTTGATCAGCAAGTCACGAGTCGTCCTACAGATAGGAGGAGACTATTATCAACAATTGTCTTCGCTGGATTCAGACTGAAAGCGAGATGACCAGCCAGAAAGGATTAGCAATATAAAAACTGTCACGGTTCAAACCAACCAAGAATCTATTGCCCAACCAACACATAAGCCAGAGAAAGTAGAGATAGGTGGTCGGACACACGGTGAGGAGACCGGTTAAATCGCAAACGAGGTGCACACTCCGAGTAGAACCCTAATGGAAAAAGACGAGGATGTATACTATTAATGAACTGAAATGAGTAGTTGGCTACCAAAACTCCTGTGAATATTATATATACATATATATATATATGCCTCCAAAGCCTCAGGATGGTAGGGGTTGGGTGTCTCGCGCTGCGGGTTAGCCACCCCTCCGTACACCTCTTGAAATGCTTCCATATGACCGTGCGTCTTACACAGCCTCTCCTGAGGAAGTCCTACTCACTGCCTTCACGTGGCGGAGGTGTTTTTCACCGAAGTGAGAGGGCAAAAGCGGATGCCCGGCGCTCTTCACCGGGTTGACTGTCCATTGGATGACAGTCTAGGGGAGATGGCTAAACCCTGATTCCAAACCTCCAACGACTGGCGTATGAAGCTCACCGGAGTTCACCGGCAGACGTATGGACAAAGGGCTTATTGGATGCCCTGGATATCTGGCCCCATTCAAAAAGGTGTATGAACCGGACTCCGGTCACCGGCTGGCTTCCAATGGATAGTGGACTCCCTACTCCACTCCTACTGCCTTGTAGGTCACACTTGGTTGTGTAAAGGCTAGAGCTGTACTCTCAAACAAAAGGCCGAGCGATTCTGGGGACATCACTCGTACCTAATTCCCATGAAACTTCATCAACTCTCTTACAAACATTCGAGATGTTCATGAAGCCGGTTCATCCTCCCGTAGGAGATAGCCGAAGTAAAGTATATATATATATATATTATATTTGATGGTTGGTGTTTCAGGTTGTTTTCAGAGGTGAATGTTAATCATCTCTGTCTTTCCTATCAGTTTTCAACCGAATGAAGTCATCTCTTAATTGTGTACTATTACTTATTATTCTTCCCTTCGGTTCCGAGTGGAACACGTAGCTTCAACCCAGGCACATCTCCATTTTGTCCTGTTCTCTGCAATATCTTTTTAACTCGCCCCACGACTGCTCTTCTATGTCACCCTCGGAAACACTATCAACTTTTCGTTTCCCATTTGAGTTCTAGTCTAACGGTCCCTTTAGCGTTTGTCCTATTCATCAACATTTTCTTCAGAATATTTGTTGAGCAATAGGCCCTCGGTTAGTTCATTCTCAGAGTCCCACGTTGCTTATTCTTTTTGGTCGGATATCTGATCTTCAGTATGGAGCTATTGAAGGCAGCCATCGATGGAAGTCTTCAGTAGATTGTTTAAAACGCTTCTGGTGATGCGAAGCCAAGTTTCTGACCGTAACAAAAAAAAGAAATAACCTATTGTCAGAGGAAAGCAGCAGATTTCTAAACTGATTTTATATTGGTTGGAGGATTGAATCACGAGGTGACATCAGTTAGAGAACCTTTGGAAACCTGGTGGTACTGGACAGCTGTTTCATCCTAGTCTGTGACTCTTCATCAGACCTTCATATTGATGATACCACATAATAATAGCATGAATAATAATAATAATAATAATCGAAGTTATCTATCCAAACAATCTGTCTGTCTGTCTGGATTCAACATAGAACTTGGCACTGAAGTGCAGCAGTTCGAGTTGCCACGTTCCAAATAGCCCACAGAGGTAGACAAGAAGATGAGTGAAGAGAATTAATAGAGTTTGACAAGTATAAGAGTGAAACAGAATGGGTAATTGTAGAAAGGAATATGAAAGATTACAGAGACTGAATACATCTGCGCCATTGACAACGATTTTGAGCCATGTCACCTATTGTCTCCAGCCATTGATTCCTAGAGTCCCGAGGGCCCCAACCCGGAAGTCTGCATCTCCCTACCTGACTCAGTTTAACTGTCAAGGATTTCATGGATTGATGCCATGTTTTTGTTTGGCCACCACTTACCCTTTTCCAACCTGAACCTATATCAGCTAGCAAAGCCCGTCAGGGGAGGCGATGGTTAGGCATGCGCAGCACGTGACCTAGCCATCTTAGTCTATGTAACTTTATAGCCTCGTCGATTGATTTTCCATCTTTGCCCAACACTCTACGCCTAACATCAACATTACTTATCTTGTGAAACCACCTAACGTGAGAAAGAGATCGCAGACATCTATGATCGAAAGCAGTCAACCTTTTCATGTCTTCAACGCGTATTGGCCATGTTTCAGAGCCATAGAGAAGGACGGAGCGAACTGATGAGCAGTACACACGTCCCTTGGTTGATAACCGGATGTCACGCCTACGCCAGAGATGGTGTAAGTCAGGGAAAGCAGCTCGAGCTTTTCGGATCCGTGCTGAGATTTCATCGCCAATCAGTCCGTTGGTGCTAATACAACTTCCCAAGTAGGTGAAGTGGTCAACATGTTCTATCACTTCCCTCCCTATCACTAAGTTAGGGGTTGACGTGGTCCAGTCCTGTAGCAGCATCTTACATTTTGCAGGGGCGAATTACATGCCAAACATACGAAGATTGCTGCCGAAAGGGTGTTTCGTCAAGCTCCTTGTCAGTAGTGTTCCCATGTGAGACTTAGCTCAGGCAAAATGAACGATACAGATGAATTTATTTCAACTATCCCAACTCTGATTTGCCAGCAAGCTAGTAAGTTAGCTAACTACTCGAATGAACCGACAATACAACAAAACATTAACAACTCACAATAAACCTATGTGTGTCTGTAAATATTTCTCTTGGGAAATTCAAAATTCCGACTACACTTACTCATTTAAAATATTCACATACAGTCGAGTATACATTCCCTTCCCAGGACCACCAGCAGAAAATGAACCTCCACCACCAAGGAGTGAATGAAGTAGGCAAGCCGGTACAAATTGTTCTTCTGTATAACTACAGGATTCAAAACCGATAGCGGCATGAGCAAATTCTGGCATCGGTGCATGATACTGAGAGAGATCACGTTCTACCTGAATATTCATTGGTCAAAAATTGAAACAATTAATGTTGCACATATATTGAAACACAAATTTGATTCATTATGGGCACCATAAAAAACTGTCTCCTAGTTTGTACGTCGGCTGGGATACTTACTACCTGAAAGCATAAACCAAAGCAGGCAGCGGTTGTCTTAAGAGACTCCCGTCCAAGATTTTCACATGAAAAGTGATCCACAAGACGGTGACACGTTCCTATGCTTTTGGTGACAGATTTATCCTTATCGTTTATTCTTTCTTCCAGCTACATTATCTCCAGTATGGAGACAGCAAAGACAGCTGTTGCTGGACGTCTGTAGTAGCCTGTTAGAAATGACTCCGTTATATTCAGTCCCACAGGATAGAATCTCATTTATCCTAAGGGATGTATGCTACTTTAGATCAATTATTTCCGCATTGTTGGTTAAACCTGACTGATTTCAAGTACTTTTGAATGTAAACCACAAAAATCAACTTTGGCGTATATATATATTTTGTCTGAACCAATATACTACTTACTTATAAGTGTTGCACTGATAAGCAGTTTAATGAATTCTACACAACAACAAAATCCTAGTGATACATCACTTGAAAATATAGTAATGCATGCAAAAGTCAGCAAACTTTTGACATCCACATAGTAAAATCACCAACAAATAACTATGTCCTGAGTCCATTTTATGTAACATTGTCAAATTGTAATTTTGATTTAAGGTATACGATAAATAGACACCTACAGACTGGGTTGCTTGCAGAAGTTATAAAAAGGGCCTCCATCATGTTTATGTGATGGACAGTTCATTACTAAAATGACTGGGTGGAATAGCAATCAAGACATTTCAGAGGCATAATATTTGAGCACGGGAGAGTCAGCTACAAATTTTGGCTGACGTCCCAAAATCTACAAGAGAGTGCTTTTACGCCGATGTACTGCAGGTTATGTCTAGGACGTATTCCTTCGGACGTCGGACAGTCAGCAATCACACTCAGATGGATGAGTACAGAGGTTCACTCATAATTAGCCACTACTCAGACAGCTTGAATTACAAAGGATAGTGGAGCCTGATGAAACATTCCCCTAATTTGTCTCAATGTCTGATAGCTTCAGTTTTGAGGAAACATGACAAGTCTGTTTTCTTAACCAACAAAGTTCCCAAAGTCTTAGCATGTTATATACTACTCTAATCTGGTTACGTAAAAATGTGAACGACAGGTTTTAATCACCTTTGGGAGTAATATATAACTTCTACCTTTGATGAGATCGTTCCCAAACGAGAGCTAGCTGCAATTACGACAAATTGAATTGAGCAGTTTCCAACTTTTGATGTTACACATCAGCATGCTGTTTTGATGGTCGCGTTAGCAACTGATTCGACTATCCAAGTTGATTCTATTCGAGTGCACGATTCACTGATGCGTTCCACTCTAAACAAAAATAACAGATTCTTCAATCTTTGTAAGCTGGCTTCACGATTCCACATAAGGTTTCACATTTCCTCAGCCTCTCTACCCGATTTCCTACGCGTCAACTTCGGACTTACACGCCCAGCTAGGCGCTTAGTTTCGAATTGAGTTTCCGTCAGTGTGTTGAGCACATAGTGGCAATCAACGGTCTCCTTACTCAGTGTATGTTTCATCTATACATCTCCACTTTCTTCTGAATAATTACTGAGCAACATCGCACTGATCAAGGCACCCAGGTAACAATTTGAGGATAGTTGCCATCTCAAGTGGTGACAACCAATGGTTTCCTTCAGGGATGCCCAATGTCCCCATTTCTGTTTAATTTCATCATAGATGTACTAATGGACTAATTGACTTCAGTGACTCAGGAAATAATCTCGCTGACTCAGAACAAGCGGATGATATAGTCTTCCTAGGTGAGGGCGCTGATAAAATGCAGTCTTCTGAATACTTTGAGGAGCAAAAATCTTCGAATGTTCGGCATGCAATTTGCTCCTGTCAAATGTGAAACCATGCTACAAGAATAGGTTACACAGACTCCTAGTTTACAGACAGATAGAAGTGAAGTGGTAGAGTGTGCTGACTATCACCCAGCGGGTTGGTCGCTGACGAAATCGCAGCACGGATACAGAAAGCTGGTTTGGCATTTTCCAACTTAGTCTATCTCCGACGTAGACGTGAAATCCGGCTGACGACCGAAGGATGCGTGTACTTTACAGCAGCAGTTCGCTCCGTCCTTCTATAAGGCTGTGAGACACGGTTAATGAAAGCAGACGACATGGAAAGGCTGGTTAGGTGTCTTTGATCATAGGTATCTGCATCCAATCTCCCTTGTTAGGTGGTATAGTAGGATGAGCAATACTGAGGCTAGGCATAGATCACAGGGAAAATCAATCGACGAGGTTGTGAAGCAGATGCATCGATTAAGATGGCTAGGACACATGTTACGCATGCCTAGCCATCACCTTCCTCGAACTGGAAATGTTAACCGCTGGTATAGGGTTAGGTTGAATGGGCTAGCCAGTGGTGGGTGGACAAACCAAAACATGGGTTCATCAGCCAATGAAATCAATAACAGTCAAAGCCGGCCACTCAGCCACGTAGGGAGGTATTGACTGCCTGCCAACTTGGTTGTGGTCCTCAGAATGCTAAGAACCCATGACGGCTGAAGACAACTAATGGCGATATGGCTCAAAAACCTCGTAGTTCATCGCTCAGATGCACTTACTCTTTGTAATTTTTCACATCCAATAAAACTCTATTCTTCTTCCATATTACTATTCTGCACCAAACGAGAGACTAGACGCACGCAAAATTAGTCACTTCCAAGTGTCTCATCAAAGTATCCGTTACAGTCCTACAGGAAGTCAACTACGAGTCCGAATAGCTCAATGTTAGTGTGTCTTAGATTTTAGCCCTGTGTGATGCTGGTTCGAAGCTCCAAAGAGGTATGAATTACTCCAAGACGGGTCCAGATACGCCTCACTGACTGATTGTTATGAATGGCAAAAAACCCGAAACCCATAGGGTAGGACAGACAGATTTCCTCTAACACAGATACAAATAAAACGAGTGAAAATTCCATAGGAACAATGGAAACGATAATAATCCATAACAAAAATGTCATTATCTCACCTTCTGATAACCTCCGGTATACTGTGAAACTGAATTATCTGGTGGTGGGAGATTCTTTGCCACCCTCTCATTCGACACGTTGGGTACAGTTGGAATGAAATACTTTTCAACTGATTTGACCAAAGCATCGTGTTCAATCCCGACACCTGCAATTACCATACGTTCTGGTCTGCAAAATAATAATAATAATAATGGTAATTACTTCATTGTAAACAATAATCGTTACACAGAATGAATTTTTCAGCACTGGGTTTCGAACCCAAAACCCCCAGGTTACAAGGCCAAGATCACTGACAAACATTCAGCCATCTTCATCAGGATCCAATAGTTGGTGTATGAATTATAACTCCTGTCAGTTCACGATGTAATAACAGCAAGTTCTGTAATCCAACGACTGGTAGGTGCTTTGGGTCATCGGTGCCTTCAGACTCAATGATCGCCAGCTATTCTTTAGGTTGACCGACTCTAATGGTCACGCGACTTTTCACTAGAACACTTTCCACAATTTTGTCCTTCTGTAGGGCGAGCATTGAATTAGTTTCCATGAGTTGCTTTGATGTTAGGATTTAATTTGTTTCAAGTTTCATCAACCATTCATATTAGACATAAAACCACTGAAAATGATCAGGAAGCACTGGATAGCTAATACGTTTTAGCTTTCGTAACAACTGTGCCTTTGATGAAGTTGTTCATATACTTACTTACGAGTAAAAGTAGTAATGTAAACACGAAATAATACAAATAACAATAATAAGGAATTCAAAGACTCTATAGTATTATTATTGTTGTTACTGTTCCCTTCTCTTGGGTTCCGAGTTGGGAACAAGAGCTTCAATCGGCGTACATAGCCACTTTTTCCTATTCTCCGCCAACATCTTTAACTGGCCTCACAATTCCTCATAGTCTCTCATCTCCTCGCACAATATCTTCCATGTCGCCATCGGACCAACACCCAACCAACCGTTTACCATTCGGATTACACTCTGGCGATAGCCTGGAGAGAGATCACCTGAAGGTTGCTCAGAGTGTGTTCAGCCTATCCTCATCTTCTTTGACATGTGTTAGTTGGGTGATAGGTTCTTGGTTGGTTCGTTCCTAGAGCTTCATGTTGCCTAGGATTTCTGGCTGACCATCTGAAATCAGCCTGAAGCTAATGAAGGCAGAGCCAAGTTTCTGACCCATATAGACGAAGTGACTGACTTAACATGGATGTTAGAAATTCCAATTTTGTTATTTATACTGCGGAATGCATCAAGTAGATTTCCAAACTGACTTCAGAAGTAAACGTTGATGGACCAGATACACATACTGATGAATCATCCGGTGACGTCACACGCTAGCGTGGCTATTTCGCTGGAATCAAACCCAAGTAGTAAACGACAAGTTGGGTGTGACTCTAAGTGATATGGAGGAGACAGTTTGAGGAGGATAATTATATAGTCAGCTAAAAAGGACTTCAGAAAGCAGGACATATGGAGATGAGCCCCGCTTGAATGCCTTACGTTCTACTCAGAACCCAAGGGAATAATAACACAGTAACTTACTTATAATGTGTTGCAACAAATCTGATAATATCATCACGTGTAATGCTACCTAAATTCTGTTGAGGACAATATCTTGGTAGGCCAAGTGTATTATTTTTATACGCTGTTGTGTGCAACAATTCATTTAGCATAGGTTCTACCGGTGGTGATCTTTCCATAGCTTCTAATTCAAATGATATACTTCTAGCTGCCATTTCGACTTCACTGTCAGTAATCTTAGCTCGTAAAACTGTATCTGATAATACATGGATAAGTCTATCCATACTTGTATTGAATCCAGACACAGCGTATATGATGAAATCTCTGAAAAAAAAAATAATACACATATATAAATAAAAAGCAATATATACTAACTGATATAAATCTTTCAGAACACAATTTAAGCAAGCAAATACAAAGGGTTTTCGATAATTTGTATTACGCTATGCACAATTAATGACAATAACTGTGAAAAAAAAAAGTAGTACCTAATGTACTCATGATTTCAGTGGAAGGACTCCTCAGCTGAATACTCCTCTACAAACATTATTATTTATGCAATTCGGTTTCAAGGTTAAATACATACAAACACATGAGGATTGTGCCAACAAGAAATCAGTGTCACTTTGAACAAATATACGATCTCTAAGTGGCGAGTGATAATCTGTCAACGTCATCATTAGAATGAATAATATTCATCAAATTACCACATATTAACACATAAACTAATGTTATTGTGGTAGAATTCATAAAGTTATATAGATCTAGATTTAATAACAATATTAAAATACCAAGAAACTTTGTTAAAAATCCAAATAAATAAATTCAATCATATAGGACTAAGTTATATATGCCTCCAAAGCCTCAGGATGGTCGGGGGTGGGTGTCTTGCGCTGCGGGCTAGCTACCCCTCCGTACACCTCTTGAAATGCTCCCATATGTCCGTGCGTCTTACACAGCCTCTCCTGAGGAAGTCCTACTCACTGCCTTCACGTGGCGGAGGTGTTTTTCACCGAAGTGAGAGGGCAAAAGCGGATGCCCGGCGCTCTTCACCGGGTTGACTGTCCATTGGATGACAGTCTAGGGGAGATGGCTAAACCGTGATTCCAAACCTCCAACGACTGGCGTATGAAGCTCACCGGAGTTCACCGGCAGACGTATGGACAAAAGCTTATTGGATGCCCTGGATGTCTGGCCCCATTCAAAAAGGCGTATGAACCGGACTCCGGTCACCGGCTGGCTTCCAATGGATAGTGGACTCCCTACTCCACTCCTACTGCCTTGTAGGTCACACTTGGTTGTGTAAAAGCTAGAGCTGTACTCTCAAACAAAAGGCCGAGCGATTCTGGGGACATCACTCGTACCCAATTCCCATGAAACTTCATCAACTCTCTTACAAACATTCGAGATGTTCATGAAGCCGGTTCATCCTCCCGTAGGAGATAGCCGAAGTAAAGTAAGTAAGTAAAACCAAGTTCACTTTTAACGGTTTGAAAAAAATTTAGGCATTGAGTATATGATATTCATTATAATAAAGGTGGTTTTTGTATTTCTCAATGAATAAAAAACAAAATGATATTGTTTTTACTGACGTTTCTCTGAGAACGATTTTGATCAACAGGAATGTTTGAATTGAATTAAATAATAACTGATAGCTGTTGTACAAAAGGTGGCTCTCATGGCCCAAGTGAACTTTAGTGCATAACACTTTGGCGTTTGCAATTATGGGTACTGGGTTCGAATCTTACTGGGAACACTATCACTCAATGGAATTCAGGTACATCCAGATGACGAGTAGTCCCAAATAGGATGCAGTGCTGCTAGTCACATCCATCAAATTGCTAAATAACAAGATTTTAACATTTCTGATAAGGTAGCTTGAATACTCCTCACAAAGATTAATAGTCAACTGTAATTTAGATTTGCACATATCCTAATAATGTTAACAATATACCAGATAAAACAATAATAGTGGAAAAAGCATCGTAAAGAGAGGGGTGAATGAAAGGTGAATTGTAAAGGTTAAATAAAAGTTTGCTACCAAGGTGGATTTATACTGATTGTCTCATTTTGCATATATACATCTGCCTTGTTTAATCTGATTGATTGCAAAAGCTTCAGCAGAACCAATAGCTTGTTTGACTACCTTGTTTGTAAACATATAACTACCATAAAGCTTTTATTCAAAGTCACCATATGATCACAGTCCGAAAAATGTGTGATTGAGAGCTCTTTGGGACGCCACAATCATAAATACTAGATTATCATTCGCCGTTTACAGATAGTATATTTGTTAAAAGTGATACATATTTCTTGCTGCCGCAGTCTTCGTGTTTGTACGTACTTAACCTTGAAACAAAATTGCATAAACAATAATGTTTGCAGAGGAGTATTCGGCTGAATAGTCCTACCAAAATCAATACATTAGATACTGTTTTTTTCTCATGATTGCTGCTTGTTTTAAACTTACTTTACTTTACTTCGGCTATCTCCTACGGGAGGATGAGCCGGCTTCATGAACATCTCTTAAGAGAGTTCATGAAGTTTCAAGGGAATTAGGTACGAGTGATGTTCCCAGCATCGCTCGGCCTTTCGTTTGAGAGTACAGCTCTAGCTTTACACAACCAAGTGTGACCTACAAGGCAGTAGGAGTGGAGTAGGGAGTCCACTATCCATTGGAAGCCAGCCGGTGACCGGAGTTCGGTTCATACACCTTTTTGAATGGGGCCAGACATCCAGGGCATCCAATAAGCTCTTTGTCCATACGTCTGCCGGTGAGCTCCGGTGAGCTTCATACGCCAGTCGTTGGAGGTTTGGAATCACGGTTTAGCCATCTCCCCTAGACTGTCATCCAATGGACAGTCAACCCGGTGAAGAGCGCCGGGCATCCGCTTTTGCCCTCTCACTTCGGTGAAAAACACCTCCGCCACGTGAAGGCAGTGAGTAGGACTTCCTCAGGAGAGGCTATGTAAGACGCCCGGTCATATGGAAGCATTTGAAGAGGTGTGATGAGGGGTGGCCAGCCCGCAGCGCAAGGCACCCACCCCCGACCATACTGAGGCTTTGGAGGCCTTTAAACTTCCTCAAGGAGGTGAAATGTTCATAATAATCGCTTTATTCCAAACAGAAATAATAATTATACAGAATGGCATTTTTGATGTTTTCAGACACATTACAACTATTTAACTTCTTTAGAAAAATACATAACACTCCACATAGGGCGAGAGAGAAAAGAAATACAAACGAACTATGGTGAATAGTGATACATGGGATAGTTCATAAATCTGAGAGATTACAAAGAGTGAAAGGATCTGCAAAAACCAATGAGAACGGCTTGGCGTCATATCATAATAACAGTCACCAAATGTTAGTTTTTAGCATCCTGAGGACCCCTGAGTCGCCATGCAGTTTACACCTCCCCAAATACCTGGCTCGAACCAACACTCAAAGGGTTCATGGATGGATGTCACATATTAGCTTGGCCTACCCGAACTCTTTTCCAACTTAATTTTGTCAGTGAACCTTGCTCGACGACGAAGGCGTTGGCTCGGCCTTCGCAACACAGGTTTTATAGACATCTTAATTATTGCATAGCTTCACAGCCTCATCGATTAACCTACTCTCCTTTCTACCTAAAACTCTACACAAGGCCTCGATATTACTCATTACATTATACCACTTAACACACGGGAGATGGAACGCGGACCCCTATGATTGACGATAGCTAGCCAGCTTCTTTATATCTTCCCCTTTCAAAGACCATGTGCCACTCAGTCATATATATTGACAGAGAGAAATGCTGCGCAGTAGACGGGTCTTTAGGTCGATAGGGGGATATCATCAACAGTCTCAGGTCATTAGTTCTCAGTGTCTTGAGGATCTCAGTCAGTTTGTAAACTCCATGATTTGGTGCCATCGTTGAATCTGATCACTCCCTCCTTACTCACTCTTTCCCAAACTAGTCCTATACTCTGAATGTAATAAATCTTTGTCAAACGTCAAGAGATAGTTATTACTTCTCACCAGAATTAAAAGAGGAATATGTTCTATCATTATTACAAAGTTAGAATATACAGGAAGCTCATTTAAGGCATCTGAAGAACTCAGTCCTTAAAATGAAGTCGTGTACATGAGTTATACGATACACAGGTGGAACACTGCTCCCATCAGTTCATGTGCATATGGATCTCGGTGTCATAAGTCCTAGCCTTAAAACTACAACATACTGTTGCGCGGTGGCAGCTCAAAGTTTTAAACCCTTAGGGACAATACGTGGGGCCTTTACAAGAATCAACTCTCGTGAAGTAAAAACTACCACACTACATTCAGAAAGTCAATCATCGTCTCAAAAGGGGACTCATATATTCTAAAAAGAGTATGACCAATTTATCATGTGAGGAAAGACTTAACACAGTTTGAATTCCTTCTGTTTATCATATTGCAGGCAGAGAGGAGAGTTCTGATTACAGAGTTCAAAATTCTACGAAATGACTATGGGCTATGATCTAACTTCTCTGCTTTCGTTCCCACCAACTAGTAAAAAATACATCAGACGACATAGCCAGATAGTTAAAAAAAACAGGGAAAAACTAGGAGTACTAGTTATTCTAATGAGCCATATACTGTCGGGACAGATTCCCAGAGCAAGTGGGACGTGAGACCTTAAAAGGCATAAATACTAATCTTAAAAAAAGGATTAACACAGATTTCAAGTCTTCCATCTCCACTCAATAAACCTTAATCTGAAATCTGCTGTAATCAGCATAGTAAAAAACATTCACACTTTCAACACGAATGTTAGTGCTTCTCTAGGATTCAAAGACTTGGCAGCAACGTTACGAAAAGCATTTTGAACAGAGTTCAGACCTTTATCAACAGCTGTCTTCGCTCAATACTGAAAATCAGATGGCCAGGAAGATCTAACAAATCTGACGAGTCCGTCGACGAACTATCACCCAATAAACATGCAGTAGATATTGAAGCCAGATAAGATGCACTCAGAGGAGACCGCTGAGAAATATCATACTCCAGCCGGACAAACGACAAGTTGGATGTGGGTCTGAGGGTGACAGAGGATATGTGTGCTAGTCCGCAGTCAAGAAACCAATTGAAAAGGCATGCAGAGGACAGGGTGGACTATAGGCTGGCTCTTTAACCGAGTCGCAAACTCTTAGAAGCGACTCTCATAAAGGCTAGAATCAGCATACTCTAACGATCCGTACAGGGAAGGACTAGACACAGACACATGCTGGAAAGGCATGAACAGTCCAGGAATTATACTTTCTTGATCAAAAAATATGAAGCACTCCAACAAAAACAAACTACGCATTCATACTAAGATCACTCAATTACTGAGGCTGAATATAACTGGTTTAACTATAGGAAAGTGTTACACACACACGGTAGGGGGGAATTTAAGCACATTAAAGACATTCAGTTAATTAACCATGCACTTTCTTAATTCATAATATAAATTTTGCCAAGATATATATAAAAAACCAGGGAAAAGTTCTCGGTCACCTTGCTATTTGACAGTCAAATATTGAATTACAATTTTCCATTGCTTCTTGCACTGCATTCCGATCAGCAAATAGATCAGATGACTAGACAAAATGTTAAAGAAACTGACGGAAACCGCCGCGAGACCTACATGAAATCCCAACTTTTCTAAGTAATGTGAAGTTCCATGGACAAAACCACCCTCATAACGAGGACCAGCTTTTATGATGACTACACAGAAACAAATTTGAAAGCTAAAAGGTGCTACAAACCTCCTACAGCGCATTGACTTCCTAATTTATTCTGTGAAGCAATCCGCAGACCGTTTGTTAATGTTGTCACTTTGGTTTCTTTGTCTTCTACGAAAGATTTCTGCTGTACATTATTTCCTAGAGTAACAACATCCTTCAGAGATATCTTTGTAATATCCAGAAAATTACTACGGACACCTGAAGAAAAGTGTTTGATATGTCTATGAACAATCGACGCGAAACGCATGCTTTATTAGGACAGATTTACAAGATCACTTTGAAGGTCAATTCAAGGTCAACCGCCAAAACATTCAAAAAAACCATCAGGATTCACTTAAGGGAAAGTCTAAAACATTGCACTTGTAGTTTTATTGTTTGAAGACTGCGAACCATAAGGCTTCAATACTATCTACCCACCATACTGAAAACTTGTGCAGAGTAGACTAAACTCCAGAACTAGAATTTGGGCTCCGTCAATATACTTATTTTGGTTAAAGCATCCCAAACATATACTTATGCTATACTCTGAAATCCTTATTGGTTTCTCACTCACTGCCTTCTATGAACTTAAGATTTCTGCGTCTGCTTGGATAACAGTGATACTGTTACCGTCACTGAGAAGTTAAACATTAGTCATAATGTGACAATTTCAAGCGACCTCAGCTAAAACGTGTACAATGTCCCAAAAATAAAAATGTGTGGAAAGTGTCGCTGACCTGTGTTGATGGCTGCATTATTTCCACAAGCTAACGCCACACTACCATATTCAAGTGTCAGTATGGTGAAATGTAGTCCCACAAAAGGTGTGACGAAACCACTATGTAGGACTTATCACCACTGAAGTCACGGGAGATGTCGATGTCCTGTGGTAGGAAAGCCTATTATAGGAAACCTGATCTCCCAGACAAGTAGATCATCTTCCACAAGTTGGAAAAATCAACAGACCGAAACCTTAAGTGCTATTTGAATACTACCTCAGTCAAATCAGACCAGTTATAACAGGGTTACTTCACATTATATTAGCCGGTATTAGTAACAAAATCAGTAGTAATTAAATGGAAAACTGAGGAAGAGTTCACAGCGAAATTCTCACTCCTAAGAGATAATGCATCTAGGTGCACAAATTTGAAACTCGGCAAAAAGACATTCGACGTAGTCTCAAACCTGGTTACTGATACCACCACAATCGGAGGAGAACGCGAGAATGCCCCAGTAATGTCCTACTATTTCCATGCAGTCGTTGCGCTGGAACCATGTCACATGTAAAAAGATGTGCTTCTAGGGTGATAGCCGAAACACAATGCTTCAGTCCCTGAGCGAACCAAACACAAGGAAACCAACAGGATCAGATGATCTCTATCCAACGCTTATGAAGAAGAGGGCAGCTTGTAGTGAGGAAATTTAGCTATTATCTCTCAAGTACTACTCTCACAGGGATGTTTTCGCGTTGGGTTGGACGGGTGAAGTGGCATCCGCAATCCATAAAAGGCTATCCGAACACTGCCCTTTAAACCAGACGTCTATCAGTCTTAGCAGTAGCTATAGGCAGAAAAAACTAGCCACTCAGCACACACTCTTTGTGGAAACCTGTAGTACAAGACAAAACTTACAAAAAAGGAAAGATGGGTTATGTTAGGGTACGATAAGGAACTCATTGCCACCAAACTTCCAGATCCCAGCAGTGTTTTCGATTGAGTGTCCCACATATCACTGCTCGAGAAATTGGAAGGTACTGAAATCGATGCTAAACTGAATCAGGGAACTTAGGGTAAGAGAGAGACAAGGATTCAGGATCATCTCAACGCTCTCTTGATGGAAGACGGTACATAGTGGTGCATGAAAATTCACTTTACTCGGTCCCTTCTTATACGTGTTGTATATCAGCAATCTGATTGCGCCTACTCTCGTAGTTTTCAATGCAGGTGACTTGAAAATTTTAAGGTGGATTAAAACTGGCAGCGAGAATCTTGCTTTCTGAAGAGATCTGAACAATCTGGCAGATTGGCTCAAGGACCGGATACTTCCCGTCATAGCGTTGACGTTCTTGCTTATTTGTGTGCGAAGAACAAATGTCACTGCCTACGACATTTGGGAACCTGTGCTTATTTAGGTTTCACATTACTCAGTGACACAAAACTACGACACACCATCACGCGGTCACCTGTCTGATTTCAGAGCTTTTATGTGCGTGACACGGAGACTGATAAAATTACCGTTGATATATTAACTTCATCTTCGTCTCTGGTGTGGTTACGGCTTGGAAACTCTATTCAGACAAGTAAACCTTGAATAAGAGGGGACTCATATATACCTGGAATTTCTTCCCGTCGTCACAGAGTAAGCAGGGAGGAAATCTAGTGATGTTCAGAATTTTGATTGGGCACTAGCCGGTAACTAGTGTTATGTGTCTAGTCCTTTGTCCGGTGCATACTGAAGTCAGGTTTACAATATGGTCATAGTCTTAGATGGCCCGCTATCACAGTGCACTTTGACACTAGTCATTAACTAGTGTCCAATCAAAGCATGCTACACAGTCCAACAGGAGGTCAATGGCGAGCCTGAATAGCTCAGTGGTAATGTCTCTGGCTGCAGGATTGGATGACTTGAGTCCAAGTTTCGGAAGGAATATGAGTTCTCTGAGGGCTGCAGACACGCCTCACCGACTGTTAATTGCCAGCTAAATCCAAGACTTCCTGTAGCCGATTGCCTCCAGCCAACTAATATCACTGTTCAAAATCCTAAGAAAAGACTTTGAAGTTCTTCTATCCTCTACTCTTCTTCCTGCCAAGTTGTCAGAACCACCTGAGCATAAACCCACTCCCAGACACAGTGGTGTGTAGGCGTTCAATCAATTCACTCCAGAGAATATTAGATATGCACAGATAATTATTGGATAAGGATTGCGGTAGGTTTGATGACCTATACTGAATGGAAATCCGAAGTCATATCTTATTTGCTTTAAGGAAAAGTAAACGTGTACAGTACCATTCCATTGCAACAGAAAGACGATAATTACTAAGGTACTAGAATGCTATCCTCAAAACAAAATTTATTTCTTAAACGCTGACCGAAAACATTTAGTGAGGGAAAGAACACATAGTTTGTCTTGCGCAGAAACCCAAATTTTTCAGGATCAACGTGACCAAACTGGAAAGCTCACCGGAAAACGGGAATCAATCAGGAAAAATCATGCGTTACATGAAGAAGCGGCAGGATCTCCATATTTATTCCAGAGTGGTGAAATCCCCAGTGACTTTCTCGCTTCCACCATGGTCAACTTTGAAATCCTAACGCGTGTCGCTCACACCAGCTCTTTCGAGTGCTTTATCCGTCTTTCTTCCACAGTTTGACAAGACAGTTCTTTCAATCCATAGGTGACTTTTCTTCCTTCCAAGCTCCCTGCAATAGTAGCTTGAGGGTATCCCGTGAGAGACCTGCATCTATTTTCGGTACCTTCAGGGGAACCTTGTCGGGTCATGCCTCCTTCAAGGCTACCAGTAACTTCATGCCCCTCATGGCCCTGCAGTTTGTCAAAGGATTGGATTTCATCAAAGTTCTGTTCCCGCTAATGAAATTTCTGGAGTAATGGTCACTAAAGTGTCCTCTCCTTTTCGTCTCTTTAAGAATTGAGATTCCCTCATTGTCTTCAGCCAAATTAATCTGCGGTACTCATTTCCCGGACAGCGACCTCGTTATCTCATAAAGTACTTTGAGGCCTCCTCTACCTGGAGTCTATTCTGCTTCGGTTGCGAGTATGTCAAAGAACTTCGTGCTGTCTTCCCTTGTACCTCTGCTTGCTCCTTTGTTCGGCGCTCTATCGATGGTACTTAGCATTTCCTCTAATTTCTAATCCCTGCAATGGTTCCTATTCTGATTCATCACCCCCTTCACATCTTTAAGGTTCCAGGTGTCCACTGAGAGCCCTCCTTCGGCTTGCCACTGCTTTTCGCTTAAGATGTCCATATAACTGTATTTGCACGTCACTTCTGGAGTTTTCAAGTATTTTCTGAGCACATTCCTTCGGTGACGTTGCTTAGTTTCTCGTACTCTTACCTGGTGACATCCTTGGATGTGTTCTCTGCAACTCTGTCCTTCAGTTTCTAAGTGTTGAACCTGAGTCGCGGGTGATCTCAGCCCCTTTGAAATTGTTCAAGTTGATCTCGAATTTGTACCGTACCAGAGACTGGTCTGAGCCTACATCTGCTCCTCTTCTCGACTTTGTGTTCAGTAGGTTAACGCTCTACCATCTTGGTGACTTCGGCGTATCCTTATGTAACAACAGAATACAAGGGCCGTGCAAAAGATTGTTTATTAAAGAAAATCAACACATGTCAATGGAGTTGAAGATTGAACGATCAATTCTTGGTTGTTTGCTCAAAATCAACTTTCCCAATTTTCGCGGAGGCATCAATACGACAGTCATCGTCTCATCGGTCGCTGTTCAGAAAGAAGAGTGAAACATCGTCAGAAGTAATACTGTGATTTATTATTGTAATATTTATTCACAGACCTTAGTTCAGTTATTATTTTTATATGTTGGTGTAACAATAAAGAAATCTCATGCGGCCAATCGGTGTTTTGGTTTTTTCGTCCGTTATAACTAAGCGTTTCTGAAAACTTCAAGGAAGAGCGTGGGCCCGAGCGTATCAAGAGCTGGGCATTAACGGTTTATGAGAAGTGACTGACAGTTTCTGACGATAGAAACAGATCTGGCGGATTCAAACAGTTGGTGAAAGTTTGGATAGTCGCCGTTCATTTTTCCTGGTGCCGGTCAAGTCCTCTTTGAACAAGCAATATCTGGAACGTTTTTGGAATTGGGTCAAGTTCAACAATGCCTGGGTCAAAGAAGGGACAGAGTGTCTTGGATGCAAACAGGAAAGTAAGTCATTGTGACTTGTCTGTTAATTGTAACGATGTGTCTGATGTTAAGCATGATATGGTTGATGTTACTGTTTCGCCGTTCAGGGATAATAGGAACATCAAACTCCCTAAATTAGAACCACGGTGTTTCGATGGAAACCCAGCTGATTATTTACAATTTGAAAAGGAGTTTGAGATCATGTTGAGTAGTTTTCTATTAAGTGATGAATTGAAGTTAATGTATTTGATGAGATATTGCACTGGAGATGCTGCAAGAGCTATACAGTGCTGTGAGCTTATGAAGCCAAAAGAGGGCTACGATGAGGCTATGAGCATATTACGTCAAAGGTTTGGAAGACCTTCAATGATTGTAAGGAACGTATACGTAGCTGTCAAAGGTAATGGCAGCCAACTTCGAGATGACTCCAAGGCACTTACTGAGTTTTTAGATAATCT